TTTTTGGAGAAAAAAAATTAAAAAGATCAGTTAGCTGAGTTTCTTCCCGTTACATGAATATAAAACATTCATAGTTTTATTAAATATTAAGATTCCTGAGACGTTGTTTCCTGCAAATGACGCGTTTATCCGCCCGGTACCGGGGGAGCCGTGCGTAACAGGTTAAATAGTGTTTATAATTTTGTATTTATAAAACTTGTTATAAAAAACATCTTTGAACACATCACAATTTTTCTTAATTAATTAATTAATTTTTTAAATCATTCCTTTAATATAAATCGTTTAAAAGTTATGCATCTTTTTTCCACATAAGTCATGCTAGGAGATGAGGTAAAGTATGAACAATGAAGAAATGTCTGCTGCATGTCATCCACTCTCTCTTCAATATATCTTTCTGTACATGTAACACAAAGCCAAATTCTTAAAAAATAATCTTTAAATAAATATATATTTACACATTTTTGTGTAAATCACTACTGGCAGGTTTTCTAATTTGTCAGGCCATTGTTTTGATAATGGTTAGAGCAGTGTTTCAAACTTTTTCATACCAAGGACCACTTTATTCCCGCGATAGTGCGGAAAACTTTAATTAATTAATTCATTTAAAATGTGAAATATTACCGATATACTCAAGGACCACTAGGGGGCGCTCATGGACCACCAGTGGTCCACGGACCACACTTTGAGAAGCACTGGGATAGAGCTATCACATGAACACACCAAATATAGTCTTGAAACACACCACAGGGGGCACTATCGAGCGAGGAAGCTGTAATGTTGGGAAACCTCAGAGCCGGTGAGTTTACTTGAGTCATCGTCAGTCTGCAAGAAATAAAATAAATGTTTTCAAAATCAAAAGAAAATTGAAATCTTCTCTCTCTGTTCACACATCTGACCTCCCTTCTCAGCATCATTTCAGCTTTGAAGCTGCTTCATGTAAACGGTTTCTTAAACATGGAACTTCAAAACAGCATTTCTCTTGCTTTACAATTGAGTCACATTAATCCTAGACTTAATCCTAAAAAGAACTACAATATATTATTCAAATATAGCATGATACTGTAGGTCCACTTTAATATATTCCTTTAATACACTGCAGTGTGTTGAATAACATTTCCTGCTTCACATTCCCAAAGATCAAGATTTAAATATATTTGAGATTGTCCAAAAATGTTGATAGCATTTTAAAATGTAATATTCTACAGTCAAATTGATAATGATTTGTTTTAGGTGATTTATAATTGTTATAAATGGAGGAGAGATGGTGCCTTTATTATTACTTTTACCCCTCCCATGATTACAAAATGTTCATTAACTCTGTGTCCAATTCATTAAGGTGAATAAAATCCTGCTTTTTATTGGTTGCCAAAAGTATTTCATTTAATACAGTGCTGCATTTTGCTTCTTTTTTTCATAGTCAGCGGCAGGGACAAAATAAAATGTATCAAAATGTAATAATAAAGTCTGCAAATAAGGTTTTATAATTTCATAATTTTGCAGTTCTCGTGAAAATGACTGGTCGCCTCTCTGCATGTGAAATGTTTTGGATGCGATTCTATCAACAGCTTCCAGTTTGTGAACTAAGCAGCTCACATATGTTTAATGGTTTAAATAAAATAAACAAAGTGGGTTAGCAAAGGTAAAGTTAATGAAAGAAAGGCCTTGAGGAACTGAAATTACTGCTGAGATTTATTTTGGTTGCAACTTGTGGTTATTACTCAACTACAGTCGGTCTGATGATACAGAAAATGACGTTACCAATCAACAGACTAAACCCAGCAAGAAGCAACTATAAACCCAAAGAAGCAGCAGAAGAACAATGGTTGATTGCAGATTGTCGAGCTGAAACACAAAGGCTTGTTTATATTTTCAGGGACTAACTCATATTTGCAATGAATTACTTTTTAAAAAATAGACTCTCTGTGTTAATCCACAGAAACCAACAACAGGTTTTTGGACTGATATGAGACGATGCACTCACCAGACAGTGCAGTGAAAACTAAAACTGACCAAATATAAATACAAAAAGGAAATAAAGTAAAAATAAAAGAGAGACTGATAGAAATATTTAGTTAATGTACTCACTGAGGAAGAAGAAGCAGATCAAAGTGTGCCTGACGTTCATGTTTGAGGCTCTGATGGTTTACTGCTGCCTCTCTTCCGTCTTCAGGAACTGCTTTACTTCTCTAAATGATGAGTCCTCCTCCAAACACTCTGAACTCTACTTTCTCATGCCATTAAAATGTAAATAGACTTTGTTGTAACTTCATGTCAAACATGAAATGTTGTGTTAATGTTTTGTAAAATAATGTGTATGACTAACTATCGTATCAACTCATTTTCGTCCAATCTGTCAATTTTCTTTCTTGTTTCAAATCTACCAGTTACTAGCTTCAATTACAATATTTCTTGTTTGAAAAAAACCAAAACAATTTAACCTGTTACAGTAAGCACCTAGCCTGTTTTTCATGTTTCAGGCTCGCAAATGACATGCCCAAAACAAATGACTACAACTTAACTTCTAAAAGGGTTATATGAATAATTTATTTTATCAAAGCAAGGTTACATCTGTGAATTGGATGTAGAAGTGTCAGAATCAATATAAATGTTTTTTATTTTAAAGAAAATTCAGATTTTACATAGTAAAAAACTGTAAATTATAGTGTCCGTCCAAAAATTATTTTTTACAGATAGTGAAAACTACCCTTGGATGATGGGTTAGTAGACTAAAAGCTTTAGGAATCCAAAGTACAACATATAATAAGTACCCTGTATCAAGATTGATGCTAAACATGTGACATTTGACCTTTTTAGAGAGGTTTAGCCAAAACCACCCCACCTCTGAGGTGATTTGGGTGAAAATGTTTTTTTTTCTATATCTCTGGCCCCCCTTGCTCGATTTTGATGGTTGACACCTCTTTCTGACCGTTAGAGCCAATAGAATCGAAGGGCGAGGCCCACATACACACTCATTGTAAAGAGAAAAGGTGGGGGCTGCGTGCATGTAAATCTAGGTTAGAGTGTAGCGATCTCTCCCTCTGGAATTTGGAAACTAAAAAGCAGTTTTATTGCTTATGGATTATCAGAAATAATTTCAAAGAGGGCACAGATACATTGGATGAACCTATGGATTAACTGCAGCATCGTTTTTTTATCGTTTTAATGCCATTGAAGACCAGTTTTGACCAAGGTAAGCCATGTTAGCGTTTCTAGTTACTTAGCTCCACATGTTATGATGTATAGCATCCTGCTGTCACGGCTTGAATAGTCCGCTGGCATCACAGGCTCTGCACTTGCATGGTTCAGGTCCTACCTGACAGACCGTAGCTTCTCAGTGCAGCTAGGTGCCTTCTCCTCTGCCAAAGCCCCTCTTACCTGTGGGGTTCCCCAAGGCTCGATTCTGGGCCCCATCCTTTTTCTACTGTACATACTGCCCCTAGGTTCAATTCTCACAAAACATAACATTCCCTTCCACTGCTACGCCGACGATGTACAGATCTATCTGCCTCTCAAAGCAAATGTCAAACACTCACTACAGCAGTTGATGGACTGCTTAGCAGAGATAAAATCCTGGCTGAGCAAAAACTTTCTCAACCTCAACGAGAGCAAGACTGAGGTCATCTTTTTTGGACCGCAACCTCCAGCCTCTCCGGTTGATATTCTGGGCTCTATAAAAAAAAACATCCTCCCCTCGGTCATGAACCTTGGAGTGACCTTCACTAGCAATTTTAAATTTGACAAGCAGGTCAGCACCGTAGTAAAATCCTGCTTTTTTTAAATAAGACTATTGGCCAAAACCAAGTCGTATTTATCTTTTAATGACTTAGAAAGGGTTATTAACGCCTTTGTAACCTCGAGACTGGACTATTGTAACGCTCTGTATGTGGGTATGGACCAGGCCTCAATTAAACGCTTACAGCTAGTCCAAAACGCTGCTGCACGTTTGCTGACTGGCCACAAAAAGCGTGACCACATCACCCCTATTCTGGCCTCACTACACTGGCTTCCAGTTCGGTTCAGAATTGATTTTAAAATCCTTTTATTTGTTTTTAAAGCACTAAATGGGCTGGCTCCGGCCTATATAGCTGAACTGCTCCAGCGCTACACCCCAGCCAGAGCTTTAAGGTCTGCTGACCAGCTGCTGCTGGTAGTGCCCAAGACCAGGCTAAAAACCCGAGGGCACCGAGCCTTCGCAGCAGCTGGCCCTAGGCTCTGGAACACTCTGCCCCTCCATGTGAGGTCGGCCCAGACCCTGGGGGTTTTTAAATCTAAACTAAAAACACACTTCTTCTCTCTGGCTTTCTAGTTAGAGCGGAGCACGACTCCTGACTTTTCCGTGTGTTTTATTTTTATTTTGTTTTTAAGATATATCTGTTGTAATTTATTGTCGTTTATTGTGATTTGTAGTAATGTGTTTTTATGACATGTACAGCACTTTGGCTCGACCAAAAATCGCTTTTAAATGTGCTATACAAATAAAACCTGATTTGATTTGATTTGATTTGATTTGATTTGATGTACGCTTTCGTTTATAGCGTCGCAAATGTTTATCACTGAGTGTTGAGGAGGGCACCACTAGATTCAGTGTCTCCAGGACACCAAAAACGAGTGGTTGGCTGTGCATCTAGGATAAGTAATAAGGGAGTTAGAGTGAGTTTAAGTGCAGTTTTAGGTTACATTTTTTCGCTCGTGGCTAATTCAGAGGCTGAGTGCTAGCATTGTGGTTTTTTTTTGGATTTTTTTTTTAAAAAGATCAGTTAGCTGAGTTTCTTCCCGTTACATGGATATAAAACATTCATAGTTTTATTAAATATTAAGATTCCTTAGACGTTGTTTCCTGCAAATGACGCGTTTATCCGCCCGGTACCGGGGGGGGCCGTGCGTAACAGGTTAAATAGTGTTTATAATTTTGTATTTATAAAACTTGTTATAAAAAACATCTTTGAACACATCACAATTTTTCTTAATTAATTAATTAATTTTTTAAATCATTCCTTTAATATAAATCGTTTAAAAGTTATGCATCTTTTTTCCACATAAGTCGTGCTAGGAGATGAGGTAAAGTATGAACAATGAAGAAATGTCTGCTGCATGTCATCCACTCTCTCTTCAATATATCTTTCTGTACATGTAACACAAAGCCAAATTCTTAAAAAATAATCTTTAAATAAATATATATTTACACATTTTTGTGTAAATCACTACTGGCAGGTTTTCTAATTTGTCAGGCCATTGTTTTGATAATGGTTAGAGCAGTGTTTCAAACTTTTTCATACCAAGGACCACTTTATTCCCGCGATAGTGCGGAAAACTTTAATTAATTAATTCATTTAAAATGTGAAATATTACCGATATACTCAAGGACCACTAGGGGGCGCTCATGGACCACCAGTGGTCCACGGACCACACTTTGAGAAGCACTGGGATAGAGCTATCACATGAACACACCAAATATAGTCTTGAAACACACCACAGGGGGCACTATCGAGCGAGGAAGCTGTAATGTTGGGAAACCTCAGAGCCGGTGAGTTTACTTGAGTCATCGTCAGTCTGCAAGAAATAAAATAAATGTTTTCAAAATCAAAAGAAAATTGAAATCTTCTCTCTCTGTTCACACATCTGACCTCCCTTCTCAGCATCATTTCAGCTTTGAAGCTGCTTCATGTAAACGGTTTCTTAAACATGGAACTTCAAAACAGCATTTCTCTTGCTTTACAATTGAGTCACATTAATCCTAGACTTAATCCTAAAAAGAACTGAAACTTGTGGCTATAAAAAGAACCCTACACTGGCTTGGTTCCTGTTTCTTAGAAGGCAGCAGGATACTACAACATGCACTGATGTTTAACCATTTTTAGAACACATTTTTTTTGTATTTGTCTCACAAAGAAGAAAGATTTCTCAGAGTTGCTTACTGTCTTCTGAGAAGTGTCTGCAGTGGGAAGTGGAGAGAACAGACATTTCTACAGGAGGAAATCTGCTGCCTCTGTCCTCCTCTCTGACCTCCTCACACTCTCTGTCAGCCTGCAGGAAGTGAGGACAGGTTTGTATTCATATCAGCTGTTTGCAGAAACATAAAAAATGCTGAGATTAACTCAAACTCACCTCTGATGTCACTATGTTACTGAAGTAAACAAAGGAGTCCAATGGAGGCGTTTCAGGCAGGGGGGGGATCGTGTGGGCAACACGAACACAGCGATGTTAGCCTTTGCAAACCATTTACATGCACAAAAACCTAAATAACACACTACAGGAAAGGGAAAACCCACAAAAGCAAAATAGGGCACCTTCAATGTCAATCGTAATGTTAGTTTCAAATGTTGTAAAATAATGTGTATGACTTATAACCCAATTTATCACTGAGCCCAATGAGTCAATTTTCTTGCAACTTGTCACAGTCGATCTGAGAAAAATAACTTTACTTTTCAAGAGAAGAACCAGTACAGAAGAAAAACAGCAGATTTCAGATTGTTGAGTTAAAACAAAAATGTATTTTAATTTTGAGACTATTACTAGTTGTAAAGACCTACATTCAAAAGGAGACTCATATCAACTCTGAACATCATGTTTAATCACAGAAACAAAACCCATGTTGTTGGACTGGTATGAGACCAAACAGAGTCCACTCATGAGTTTCCCATCCGCTGCATATTTTTGAGTGATCGTCTGTGAATGAATAAAGAAAACAGTAAAATAAGAGAAACTGATATAAATATGAAGTGTGTGAACTCACTGAGGAGGTTCATGTTTGAGTCTCTGATGGTTAAAGCTGCCTCTTTTAGGTCTTCAGGAACTGCTTTACATCGGTACATTATCGATGAATACTTTTTCATGTCATTTTATTCAAATGTGTGATTTTTTCCGTTTTTGCCAATTATTCTTATGTGTTCATTTCTTCTAGTTCAAACACTTATGTAAATTAATGAAATAAATAAAATAATGACACTTCCAAAAGATGCTTCAAACATAACACTTAATGCTTTTTATTTTATATTTAAAAAATAAATAGGATTATTCTTGTAGTACAAATATATACTTGCAGGATACAAACTCGAAATCAGTGATTTAGTTCAGATTTGTTTTGTTTTGTTGCAGACATACATATATTTATAATTGTTGGAAGGAAACTGAAAAAATGCAATCATATAATTATGACTCATCTAACCCATCAACTATAGTTCAAAACCATTTCTGCAGATGCAAAGAACTTATGAAAACATTTCATCGGACACTGATAACATTTTAAAACTTTAACCGGTAACAACTAATGTGAGCTCTAACTGACAACAATAAATCATTATAAAAGTTATGAAAATAACTCAGTTCTCTGAAATGAAAGAGCAGATTACAGTATATTGTGAAAGTTAGTCAAACCGCTTTGTGTTAACCAAAGTAACTCTGATACTTCCTGGTCAATAAACACAAACAACAAACTAAAAGTACCGTGACCATCTGAAGCTGTCTGTCCCTGTTGAGGCTGCGTGGTGCGTTCAGGGGAGGCTGAGGAAGGTACGGAGCTTAAACTCTGAGAGGTGGTGGAGGCTGATGTTGGAAACGGTCTGAGAGTCACTTTTGGTTTTGAAGAGGTTGGAGCTGTGAAACATAAGAAAACACAAAAGACAATCAGATACTGATTGTAAAAAGAAGTTGGCGCTATAACATGTCACTGAAAATAACATGAATTTAAATGTAAATGTATCAGTGTATTTCTAATCATATGACTAAATGCACAAGATATGAATTGGTTGGTGCAACAATATTTAAATTAACTGAAGTGTGTGACGTCTGAGTTACCATATGTTTCACAGATGAATGTTCGTGTTTAAAGGAGCATTTATCAGTGTTCAGAGTATTGTGTTACACTGAACATATTGTGGTATTTGGAAGAGCAGCCGCGGTCAAGAGAGAGATCAATCTAACCTATCTAGAAAAGACTCACCATCTTCAACTCTGATCTCAAACTCCATGTATGACGGTGAAAAAACTCGGCCAAAGCCACATTTGTACCGTCCCGCATCAGACTTAGTCAGCTTTGTGATGCCCACATACAGAACTGTATCAGAATACGGAAAAGCAGTCCCTTCTTTAAATCTGATGCTGTATCTGCCTTTCTGGGCCGTGTCAGCGGTAGTTTGGAGCAGAGTGTCTCCTTTTCCACACTCTCCCTTACAGAAGATCTTCCTCTTTCCGGATAAATAGAAGTGGCATGAAACTGTTATGTCTCCTCCTTCAGTTCCTGTACGGACAACACTTTCACTGTTTCCATCCCGCTGTGCTGTTGAAAAGAGGATCAATTAATAGTTACTATATGTACTCACTTAGGAAGCTGCAGTTTAACATATAACATTTCCTGTTTTACAATTAAAAAGATCAGGATTTGATTTAATTAAAATTCTTAACATTGTAAAATCACATTTTCTACAACTAATTTCAGTTTGAAACATTTGTAATGCTTCAAAAGAGACTCATACCAACATGTTAAACCCTATATGTATATATAGTCTATGGTTAAACCGAAACCAACAAACTGTTGTTGGACTGATATGAGATGATACAATCAACAAAACAATGCAGTGAAAACTTTAGCTGACCTACTGCAGATTAAATAAAGAACAATAACAGTAAACAATAGAGACTGATATAAATATTAAGTGTGCATACTCACTATGGAAGAAGAAGCAGATCAAAGCGACAAGCCACACGTTCATGTTTGAGCCTCTGATGGTTTAACGCTTCCTCTCTTCTGTCTGCACAAAACAGGAAGTGCTTCACCTTTCTAAAAAGGATGCAGTCCCTCTGCTCAAAATACATCCACTCTGAACTCTAATTTGTCCCGCATGAATCTTCAAGTGTATGTGTGATTTTACATTAAAACTACACCCGGATATAGGTTACTGCAGATTTAAGTAATCATTTTGTAAAATAATAACATGTGTTGCCATCATTGAGTCCTATGTTTCTGTTTTATTAGTCAAAACATTAACAGTTTTGCACCCTCACAAACACTTCTTGTTGTTTACATGTATTTAATACTGTTTGTGTTTTAAGAGAATGAAAGAAAAAAAAACATTTGGCTCAAAAAGATTCTTTAAACACACCTTTTAGTGATTCTGATTTTTTTATTTTGTGATTAAAAACAGATCATTCCTTTAACTGATACAACTTGTTGCACCTTTTCTCCTCCATAAATCATGCTGTGAGAAATCCGTGAATACATTTCTTTAAATATTTCAATTATGGATGCCTGAGCTCGCACAGACAGAAAAAGACGTGCTTTAGTAAAACACATGTCAGGTTACACTAGAGCAGTGGTTCTCAAACTTTTTCTGTCATTCCCCACTTTGAACAGGTGGGCCTTTTCAAGCCCCACCTGTTCCTCATCGCTCCAATAAAATGGTAGGCCAAGCTTAAAATTGTCAAATGTATCGTTCTATAGCAGGGCTCTCCAACCTTTTAGGGTGAGGGCTACTTTCAAAAAATAAAACAAGTCGTGAGCTACTTTTACTCCTCTTTTTTTGCTATTTAGCACATTTTAACATGATGATATGCTGACCTTTAACCTTTGTGTGCTGTTTGGGTCTGTGGGACCCGTTTGCAGTGTTTACTAAAAGAACATGTATTCAATTTAATTATTTTAACCTGCTTTATTTGGGGGTGGACCTCCCCTCCACTAGGGGGGTCGGGGGGCATGCAACCCTGTGCAGATGTTTTTTTAAATGTTGAAGTGAAATGCATCAATCTGGAGCACTTTGAGCACAACATGAATTGATGGAAACAGCTCTCAACACTCAGATGAAAGGGAGCTGTAGACTTTTCAATAATCCAAACATCTTTAGAATATGATCACAACCAATAACAAATCATTTAAACTGGTTTATTCTTATCTTATGTTACCTAGTTAGCATTCTTTCTTTCTATTTATGCATATTTTACTAATCACTCCCCTTTAAACTGTTTTTTTTATTTTTTACTGTCCTATAGTACACATTGGAATGATTTCTTACTTTATTTTTTACAACCAGGCTATATTAAATAGATAAAGGTGTGCTCTCTCTCTCTCTCTGTCTCTCTCTCTCTCTCTAAACATAGACCTATTTTTAAAGTGGGGGGACACAAACGGGATTTCGAAAAGTGTCACGGTTAAACTCCTTATGAAGTGGTGAGGTGCCGCTCCACATTGCTTTTCTTCCCGACTGCAGCGCTGTTGTGTGTGTGTGTGAGAGCGATTCACATGTGTGTATGAGAGATTTTTACATATGTCTGTAAATTATTTTGGTTTCAGTTGTGTGTGTGTGTGAGCAGGCTCGGATTGGCCATCGGGAGATTCGGGACTTTTCCCGGTGGGCTGCTGCCTTCGGTGGGCCGCTGGCTCTGGCATAGGTGGGCCGTGGACTTTCAAAGCTCCGCTGCGCCGGTACCGCACCCGCCGCCGCAAATACCCGCCGTTGTGAGGCTCCGGCGGGTCCGGCGCAGCGGCGCTGTGAAAGTCCACAGCCGTTGCGAGTCTCCGGCTGTAACAGTCCACTACCGCCCGCGAGGACCCAGGTTCGATTCCGGCCTGAGGTCCAAATAATTAATTAAAAAAAAAAAAATTTTTAAATCTCCCGTTCATCACGTCCATTCGCGACCCACCTATCACATCTCTGCGCCCCACCAGTGGGGCGCGCCCCACACTTTGAGAAACGCTGCACTAGAGAGACAAAAGCAGCAGCCAAGAAATAGACGGCATTTTCAGAATGAAAGAGAGGACATTTAAGGGCTATGTTTGATGTCTTTAAGTATCACCTGCTGGTGTTTAGCTGCTGTCCTGTGCCGTAAATCGTTTGTTTACGTCCCTCACTTCCGTTTCGCTTCTCATTTGCTAGCTGAACAGCTGATCAGAGTGGTTTCTTGGCCCGATAGCTTGTGTCCGTATTTTGGCCGATTCAACATGTTGAATCGGCCATGTGTCGACCGTGAAAGGCCAAATAAGGCGTGTCACGGCTGAGGGTTCGGGACACACCAAATTGACTTTGGGCGACAAGGAACACGTTGTCGCCAGACAACCGAAGACGGCCGATAACGGCCTGGTGTGTCAGGGGCTTTAAAGGCATCTTAAAAACATATTGAATTACTTTATGTTGTTCATTTCCCTTTTCTTCTGCGTATAATTCACATGCTTACCATAACTTATTTAAATCGCTGCATGATACAAACTAAAACTCATTGATTTATTTAAACTTTTTGAATCACAAAGATTATTCAGTGAGTTGTGCAGACACAACAATAATGGTTATTGCTGCCAGAAAACGGCCATTGTTAAATAATCATTTAGTTATGATCATTATGTTAAATATTAGCTAGGTGACCTGGTGGAGCGTGCCACCCACAGCGAGGCTGGCCCACGACTCGTTGCCCTGTTTTCAATGTATTGGACCTGCATGCTATAAAGGCAAAAAGGTGTACAAAAACTAAAGAAATTACTTTTCTTTTGTTTATTTTTTTTTTACTTTAAAGGCTATTGTTGCAGCTATTCTCTTTATATTATGTAATACTTAAACATTTATTATCTTGCTGTCTATAGTGTTTATAGTAAATGTATTCTTAGTTATTAAAGTAGTTTCTATGCTTTTATTTTGAGGGCAGTTTTGGGCACTGGGTGATTAGAGCACCTGGTGTAATTGGAGACAGGTGGTGGTGTGAATAGAGCACTAGTAGGCACATGGTTTTTTACCAGGGTTTTTCCAGCCACAAGAAAGGAAAGCCATAGGAAAGGCTTAAGGAAAAAAACATAGGAAACCTGTTCATTGTTAATGATATTGGATCATAATAAAATTATCGGAGACTCTTGTCTGGACCTCGATCATTGCCCTGCGTAAGTTCCGCTAACTAGCGCCTCAGCGCTTATTATTTTAAGTTAATTTTCTGTTTCATTTCTTTATGATTTTGGCCGCTACAGCTATTGCTCTCATGATGACTAGCGGTATCACCTTATCACACCAACTATATATTAATATGCAATAAATGCAGAATAAATATAAAATCTAACTGCAATAAAAAATATATACATTTCTGCAGATAAAATGTAATTATACAAATAATCAGTTATCTTTAATGTTAACTTTTTTAAACCTTAACATGTTAGTGCTGTTTTTTAACTAATATGAGCTTTGAATGATAGTTTACTGTTGATTCCCACAGATAAATTACATTAACAGTTACAGCTACATCTGAAGTGACAGTGGAGTACGGAGGAGGTGAAGCGTGGCTAACATCAGAGCGCGCTTCCACCCCGAGGAGCAGAGAGGACATTATCTGCGTCACCACAGGGGGCGCTGTGGAGCGAGGCAGCACCACTGTTAGAAGAATCCACCTCAGAGTAGTTGAGATTACTCGGGTCATCTTTAGTCTGCAAGAAAACAAAGTATACTTTATCACTTGAGCTTGTTTTTGAGTTTACCGACATGTTTTGTGAGCATGTTTCCAGGATGTGTAATGCTTCATGTATTCAGTTTTTACCTGCAAATCTATATTGTTTCATGGAAACTATCTGTATTTCTGTACATCCCCTCACACCTTCAAGTTCAGTCCGAGGACTTCCTTTTCAAATCAACGGAAGCTTGTGGCTTGTGGCTTGGGGTTTGATCACAAACTGGCCTCGTTCCTGTTTCTGTTTCATGGTACTCTTCTGTCTTGATGTAAACGTAGGCTACACATAGATCTAGTCTTTCTTTGTTTAATTTTTTTCGTAAGACCTGCTTTTCCTTTTAAATATGAAACATACACTGAGGTAAAGTTTGTTTAAAAACACAGCTAGCAAATGTCCCCAATCGTCTCTTTCCTGCCACTGCAAAAATACTTCCTCTTCTTAACAATGAAACAACATAATAGATTTAGATGCATATTGAATTGATAAAACAGCTTTGAAAATAATAATAATAGCTAATTATGAAGTGCAATAAAGTAATTTATTTTTTCATCTAAATGTAAATTGTTATTATGTTGTGAATAAACCAGGGTCCATTATCTAGAAACATTTAGAGTTTTTGAGCCAGGTGGTCACAATAGTTGGTAAAGGTTATATTTTAGTTTGTTATATGTCTGTGGGTTTCACGTCGCCTCACATTTCCTGGCCCTCTTCCTGCAGAATATCAGCACAGACGCTGAGAGTACGAGGAACTTGGCGAGCAGAGTCAGACGCACATACAGCACCACACCTGAGAGCAAAAGAACACTTTGTTTACTCTAATACTTCCTGGTCCATAAACACAAACAACAAACTAAAAGTACCGTGACCATCTGAAGCTGTCCGTGTTGAGACTGTGTGGTGCGTTCAGGGGAGGCTGAGGAAGGTACGGAGCTCAGTCTCTGAGTGGTGGTCAGTGTGGAGGCTGATGTTGAAAACGGTAGGAGAGTCACTTCTGGTTTTGAAGATGTTGGAGCTGTGAAACAAAGGGAAATGCAAAAAAATTAATTAATCGAATTTTTCCGTTAAATGAAGACGGTAATTCATGTTTTGTGAAACAATATTTAAATTAGCTGTAATGTTTGTAGTCTACCAGAATGTTTCCTTCTTCACATTTTCCCTTACAGAAGATCTTCCTTCCTCCAGAGAAAGTAAAGGAGCATGCAACTGTGATGTTGTCTCCTTCAGTTTCTGTACGGTCAAGGTTTTGGTGAGCCCACTGTTTCCATCCCTCAGCGCTAATGAAAAGATGTTCAGTCAATGGTTACTTTATTCCTGTAATACACTGCAGTCTGATTTCACAGTTACATAAATCATTCATTGATCATACTGGGAGCTGCCCAGTCCAACCAGCTATAACTCAATCCAACAGAAATATGAATATATTAGATCAAACTTAAAAAGCAGAAGAGATCTTTAACAAAATAGACTGTTTAATGTTCATTAGAAACTTAACAAATGTTTTATTGTGATGAAGTAAACCTGTATAGAATTTTCTGTTATTTAGTAATATACTGTAATGTTGTGTGTGCGTGCTGTTGTGTTGTATTTTTTCAATGAATCCCTTCTCAAGTAAAATGACACTGCTGACAACTGAGTGTGAAATGCTTAACATGCATTTATAAAACATCAACAGCCAAACTGCTAAAAGATGTGTACTGCTGCAGTTCTTCCTCTTTAGCTGCTTCAAATAAAGTGAACTAATATTTGTATCACAAAGCTAGTTATTCAGGCTGAAGCAACAGAAAAATAACTTTACTCTACAACAGAAAAGGCAACTATAAAACCAAAAGAACAATAGTTGACTGCAAATTACCAATTGCTTTATTTTGAGGATATAACTAATACCTGTATTAAACTGCATTTTTAAAAAGGCACTCATACTAAACTCTGAGCATCATATTTAACCACAGAAACCAACTTGTGGTTGGACTGATATGAGATGATGACAAGACAATGCAGTGCAAACTTTAGTTGACCCATTGTTATTAAATAAAGAAAATAAAGCCCAATAACAGTAAAACAAAAGAGAGACTGATAGAAATGCTCACTGAGGAGGAGGAAGCAGATCAAAGTGTGCCTGACGTTCATGTTTGAGTCTCTGATGGTTTACTGCTGCCTCTCTTCTGTCTTCAGGAACTGCTTTACGTCTCTAAATGATGCGAGTCCACCTCCAAACACTCTGAACTCTGCTTTTTCATTCCATTATGTTCAAGTATGTGTGGATTTACATTAAAACTGGACTTGGTTGTAACTTAATGCAGTAATCATTTCATGTGTGTACAAGTATTCGTATAGCTGTCATAATAACCACTTTGCCATCATTGAGTCCACAGTGTCCATTTTATTTTATTTAATCTACAGGTTTTCTAAGCTTCAACAAAATATACATTTATGTATTTATGTGTAAATGCTATTGACAGGGAATTTTGAAATTGACAGTTCTTCAAATGCTTAGAGCTATCAACTAAACACATTAAATATAGTTATGAAAAAGAGAGAATAAATACAACATCTGACTGCAGTAACAAAATATACAAATGTCTTCAGATGCAGAGAAACACATTCACTTATAAAAATATCTGATACTTTACATTTTAAAACTTAATACATTTACTTTTTTCACAGCGTTTGGTTTTATATTTTCAAACAAAATCCAAAAACTTAACTAAACTCTAATAACTTTAGTTCTTTTAAAGATCTCCTATTATGCTATTTTTAGGCATATATTATGAGTCTCAGATATATACAAATATATAAAAACATGTCTGGTATTTTGAGCAAAACACATCATAAACAGATCATGCATTTTAGACATCCCTCATATCCCTCTGTTTCAGCCCTGTTAGAGAAACACGGATTCTGGGTCCTTAGCTTGAAAAAAAAAAAAAAAAGAGGAGGGGGAGCTAATGCCTGCTCAGAAGAAAAGCTGCCGTGATTAAACGCCAAAATGTTCCAAGCCACATCAAGGATTATTTCTGAAACAGTATGGAGCTCAAATGCTTTCTCTCTTGCCGGTTATACCACAAGGCGAGATCCTTTCTTTATTTCCTGCTTTTTTACACATACTCACTCCAGTAGCGTTAGCTCTGAGTGTTAGCGATGCTTGCTAATGTAAACAAAGACCATTTTACGTCCAAAACACGTCGTGCATTTTTTCTGATAGTAACGTTTCGATATTACATCATATCGGACGCACATCTGGATCAGCTCCGTTGTGCCCCCGTTTTTAGAGATTTTGGTAAGGAGGAAAAGAGAGGGTTTCATTTTCTGACACTTTGTGAGTTCCCTAAAGGACATTAAAAAGTGCATTTTGCATGATAGGAGACCTTTAAGTTATTTACCAGATACATTTTAAATGCCTAATTACACAGCTTTGTGTTCATCAGTCGGTCACTGAGAAAGTACATTTGGAAATGACAGATTTGAAGCTACATCTGATGTAAAGAAACAGTGGAGTAAAGAGGAGGTGAAGCGTCTTCTGCGTGGCTAACGTCGGAGCTCTGTGCTACCCGAGGATCAGAGTAGAGGACGTTATCTGTGTAGCCACAGGGGGCGCTGTGGAGCGGGAAAGCACTTTTTGAGAAATCCACCTCTGAGTAGTTGAGATTACCTGGGTCATCTTTAGTCTGCAAGAAAACAAAGAAATCGTTATTTGTCACATGATCATAATTTCAGGATGTGTACTGCTTCATGTACAAATCTATTTTTGATTTGTCAACCCGAAAATCTTTATTTTTGTACAGAACTTTTTCCTCCCCCCCCCCCCTCACACCTCCACATTCAGTCCGAGGACTTCCTGTTAAGATCAACAGAAGCTTGTGTATTGAGATATGATCCAGCCTTGTTCCTCTTTCTGTTTTCTGTTACTTTTATCTCTTGATGAACACATTGTTCATAGATGTAAGTAGATTAAGTTAGTTTAAAACCAAATGTGTTTAATTTAAAATATGTCCTCTGCTGTACAATAAAAAATACTTTCATTTGTCATATCATCTGTCGTCTTTCAGTGTGAGATAGAGAGATGGCTTTTGTCAAGTGTGAAAAAATCGTACCCATCACCTTTTAATTAAAACCTCTCAAGTTTATTTAGTGTGTGTGTAGCTGAAAACCTAAACCCTCTCACACTTCTGACTTACTTCCTTCTGAGAAGTGGCTGCAGTGACTAAGCTGTACTCGTCTGTGGATTCGACTCCGTTTGGTTGGTTTGGTTTGGCGTAGGAGTAAATGGTAGATGTTTCTACAGGAGGAGAACTGCTCCTTCTGTCCACCTCTCTGATCTCCTCATGCAGTTGGTTAGTCTGCAGGAAGTGAGAACAGGTTAGTATTGATATCAGCTGGTTTTACTAACATGAATACATCTGAAATGTCCCAGATTTACTCAAACTCACCTCTGTATCAGAAACATACTCAGTTTCCACAAGAGGTTCTGAAAGAAATGCAGTTCATGAGATTCAAAAACACAAATTTATAAGAAAAAATTTAAGATTTTGGGCAGACCTGAACTCCTTTTTGGGTTAAAAAGCAACCAGACTCAAAAGATGAATGAGCTGTGAATCTACCTCTGTGTGTATATAACACCAACCCACTGATCAACATTGTTTTTCCAAAAGACTGCTTCTTCGTATTTGTTCTAAATTATTCAAATTGAGTTTAGCGGAGTTTCTGAATTCCCTTTTTCTCTCCCCATGTCACTTCAATTCCACAGCCTCATATCTGTACTGTAAATACCCAAGGACCCCTAGTTACATGACAGAAGATGTCTTCAGGAGCATCAAAGACATGTATTTTTTTAATTAGAAATGTGACTGTGGAACTGAAGTGCCATGAACAGAGAGGATCCAGACGCAGGGATAAACTCAGCCTGTTAAACAACACATTTTGAGAAAAGATTAAACTAAACAGTCAAGTTGAAACATTTAGAACAAATAAAGAAACTAAAAAGCCTTACGGACAAACAAGCAATATCAGTGATTGATTTTTAGGTAAACGGTCTATACAACCATATGTCAAAAAAGCTTCTTAAATTAGGATTTAAATACATATGAATCAGATCACAGAAGTGTGCTATTTGGAAAGCTAATTAAAGTTTGACCTGAAAAACAAAACATTTTTTTTATCTAAATGTCAATAGTTGTGTTATATTATCACAGATGTTACGAAGGAAGCAATGGAGCAACATTATTGACTTTTAGAGCAGTGTGTTCAAAATAAGTAGCAAAAAGTCCAATTGTTTTTGCCGTTGTGATGCGTGTGTGTTTCCTACAGCCTCACCTTTCCTGGCTCTCTTCCTGCAGAATATCAGCAACGCAACCGATAGTACGATGAACATGGCGAGCAGAATCAGACCAACGTACAGCACCACACCTGAGAGCAGAAGAACACTTTGTTTACTCTGATACTTCCTGGTCCATAAACACAAACAACAAACTAAAAGTACCTGGTCCCTGTTGAGACTGCGTGATGCGTTCAGGGGAGGCTGAGGAAGGTACGGAGCTCAGACTCTGAGTGGGGGTCAGTGGGGAGGCTGATGGGGCTGATGTTGGAAAAGGTCGGGGAGATGTTGAAGCAGTGCACAAAAGGAAATGCAAAATAAATGTATAAATCGAATCATTCCGTTAAATGAAGACGGTAATTATTGCTTTGTGCAACCATATTTAAATTAGCTGTAATGTTTGTAGTGGTTCTGGATGTGTAGCAGATGAACTGTTTTGTATAAAAGGAGCATTTAAAATATGCAGCTCTGAATATAATTGTTACATTGAACATATTGGGTTATTTGAAACAGCAGCAGCTGTCTGGGAAGAGTTATATCCAAAACTCCCAGAAGAAACTCACCATCTAAAACTCTGATCTCAAAGTCCTGGTGTGAGTCAGGGAAAGGTGCAGATCTGACCAGACCACATTGGTACTGTCCTGCGTCAGACTTGGTCAGCTTTGTGATGTTCACATACAGAACTGTACCTCTTACTGGAAAAGCTCCTTCCTTATATTGGATGCTGTATCTGCCTCTCTGAGCTGAGTCTCCAGTCGTTTCTACCAGAATGTTTCCATCTTTACATTTTCCCTTACAGAAGAGCTTCCTTCCTCCAGAGAAAGAAAATGAGCATTTGAATGTGATGTTTCCTCCTTCAGTTTCTGTACGGTGGAGGTTTTGTGCGTTGGTGAGCCCACTGTTTCCATCCCTCAGTGCTGTTGGAAAGAAGAGCAATCAATAGTTTCTATATTCCTGAACAGTTTCTATATTTCTGTAAAAACTGTAAAGCCCCCTGAGACAAATGTGTGATATTGGGCAATACAGTATAAATCAACTTTGATTGAGTGATTCCTGTAATACACTGTAGTCTGATTTCAGTTACATAAATCTGTAATAGAGCCACAGAGTCACACTGGGAGCAACCCAGCTCAACCAGTCTGTAATATCAACAGAAATATGAATATATAAGATACACTTTATTATCCCGAGGGAAATTGCTCTGCAGCATTTTCAATCCATATTGTGAAGAGTGCAAATACAAAGAGATCAAATAAGATACAAAAATCTGACATTATGATTAGGTGCAAACCCAAAACATAAACAATAGGTCAGGGATAATGTTCAGGGTCAATATTAATAAACCTAAACAGGGTCTTGAATCAACTGGTGAATTTATTACTGATTTGTTACTTCCAAAATACAACAAAAATTACTGCAATGCATTTGTATTTGGAAAACAATGCAGCAGAAATATAATAAGCTAATATTTATGGGAAGAAAATAAATGAAACAGAAACAATTGTTACTCTCAGATAATAGGGTCATTTCTGATTGAAGAAGGTCAATAGTAATCTCAATAAAATACATATTTAAGAAATTCCAGCAGTGGAAAGTTGCTAAATATGTTTACTCAAGTTGTGTACTTAAGTGCAATATTGAGCTACCGGTACATTACTTGAGTATTTTCATTTTCCGCCACTTTAATTATACTATATTTGATAACTTAAGTTACTTTGCAGACTCAAATTAGAAATACAAAATATGATAAAAAAAAATACATTATTATTATTTTAATAAATACAGATAAAACTTTATTGATCCCTCGTGAGATTTTTAAATGAGCTCCACTTTGACCAGATAAAACATTAAAGTGATGAAACCACATTATTCTGAAATGTGACATTCGGTATAACAAGAAGCCAACTTTGACTAAATCAGGTACATTTGGATGATAATACTTTTGTACTTTGTAAATATGTGAATAAGATAAGATCAGAGTTACTTTATTGATCCCAAATCAGGAAACTGTTGCGTTGCAGCAGCATGAAAACAATTCTAGAATTTAAACATCTCAAAATATAATTAAAACAGCATTAAAATGTAGAAAATATACAGTATTAGTAACAAATCTATACACTCTGAAATGGGGTTTTAATGTACTGTATGAATGTTACCAAGTATTTCTTCTTTTACTTATAGTACAAGTACTTCTTTCACCCCTGAGTGACTCAAACCCCTATCATCCTGTTGTGTAACCACAGAAACCAACGACATGTTAAACTGAGACGAGAAGTGAGGAAACAGAGAAGCCGTTTACCGTCCACTATAAAGTTTAACGGACTGTTAATTAAAAATTAATTAAAATAACTTGTTAAAAAGAGACACATGTACAGGAATAGTAAGTGATCGTACTCACTGAGGAAGAAGAAGCAGATCAGAGAGTGACGGGCGTTCATGTTTGAGGCTCTGATGATTTAAAGCTGCTTTCTTCCGTCTTCGCTGCCAAAGCAGGAACTGTTCACTTCTCTAAATGATGGAGTCCGTCCTCCGTACACACGACACGCCCTGAACTCTCCTCCCTTCTTATTTTATTTTTTTAACTGCAAGTCATTTACTAGAACATTTTTAGAGAAGATTGACATTTGAACTGTGTTTGTTTGTAACATGAAGTGGCATACATGTCACGTTTATCTTTACAGTGCCATCAAATTCCTCTTTTAACTAATTTGAGTAATTTTGTATTTGTTTGTCAGCTCAACGTTTGTCCAAGATTTTTGTAATTATGTGTTTTTTAAGAACAGAGTATTGTCCATCGCTGCAGTATCTTTGAATCAAAATAATGCGGTAAGAAGTCAGTAATGATATCATGCACAGATATAATCAACAGACGTGCTTTTGTGTGCATTCACTGGAAACCTCTATCTGATTGTAGACATAATAATATTTTTGTTTTATCTGAGTGAGAGTTCAGTAGAATTGGTCCTTATTACTCGAGGCTTGGACATGAACAAAATAATATATAGGTCTAGACTAACAGCAAATTGACGACATACCGGAAACACAGTAGAGGCCTTCTTTGAAATGTATTTGTGGGATGTGAAAGCAGAAGCTGTCAACATGATAATACATACATTGGAACATATGAGAGTACACACAGAGAAGTGGAGTGTTTCAATGTGGTTTGAGAGGTTTCTGTAGACATTTTGAAACGTATTTTCTCTGTGAAAATGTCCACTACTTCTGTGAACCTAAGCTGACCTAAAGCTGCTGTTTTAGTGAAGGAGCGAACTCTGAAGATTTTGAGCTGAATAAGGATATTATACATATAGTTTGTTTTTGTTGTTTTGGGTACAAAATGCCAAAATCTCAACACTAGAGCAATTATCACTTTTAGTCTATGAACATCTATGCTCCAGCAGACACAGACATACATTAATGTATAATAATTCATGTCCTTTAAGCTCCTTTTTTGATCTCAAACAACTCAGAAAAAGTGGTTTATTGGCGGTGAATGCTCCACTAAGTCCACCACTTACGGAACGTCTACACAGCAGCGTTAAAAAAATCTTGAAACGCTTCTGCCCATTCACTTTGAATGGGGTGACGTCACTTTCCCTCACTTTTCGCCGAAATGGATTGTGGGCAGGCGAGCGGAGATTTTCAGGATTTTGAGGATTCAAAGTTGAACAATGTTCAACTTTTGAGGCTGAGGTGGAAGCGTCAGCCAATCAAATCCTGTGTACGCAAATCTGACAGTTCAAGCTCTAGCCAATCAAACGGCGTGTATGCTGGGAGAGACATATCGCAGGTCATTTCCTCATATTCCAAAAAATGGAGGAGAAATTAGCGGTAGCGAATCAATCACCCGGTGCTTTATGACCAGACCTACCGGGATATAAACCGGAGGAGCCAGGCATGGAGGGAGGTGGCAGAGACAGTGGTAGGTTTTCGCCTGTTTTGGGGAGTTTATATCCAGTTTACTTTTTTGCTTCGTATGTCGCGGGCGGGAGATTCATGTGATTGGTTGCTCGCAAAAAATCCTCAAGCTTCAGATACGCCCACCTCCAAGATTTTTTTAACGCTGCTGTGTAGACGTACCGTTACCCCTAGATTCCACCGGGTCCGTCTGCGCCGCGTTGCGGTTTTGGTCCGGCCTCCTCCGGCGTCATACCCTACCAGGCGCGTTTCAGAAGCATTTCAGAAGCGGAGCGTCTTGCCTGCCGGCTCGCAGTTTTTGTTGATTTGGGCATATTTCCTGGACAGGCTACTTTGTACAGACAAAGTTAATAATAACTGTAATATTCAGTTATAAACGACATGAATCAAAGATGTGTTGCTGTATTTTAGTGGTAAAAAAATGCATTCATCATCATAATTATTCTATATATATAATTTACACAGTGCCTGTAAACCGGAGGAGAACGCTGGCATTTCTCCTCCTAAGACTACGGAGGGATAGGGTCTGCAAAATTAGTTTGTGTGTGTGTATATATAGCTCTGAACGTTCCACTTCCTGCCTGCCCGACCTTACGTTACGGCTGCGCCGCTACAAAAATAGGATTCGATCCTAATTTTAGAGGAGCCCTGCGCCGAGACGCTTCTGGGACGCTTCTGAACCGTAACGCGCCGCAGCGTCCCAGAAGCGGCTCGGCGCAGGGCTTTTCTAAAATTAGGATCGAATCCTATTTTTGTCGCGGCGCAGCCGTAACGTAAGGTCGGGCAGGCAGGAAGTGGAACGTTCAGAGCTATATAGACCTATATATATACACACACACAAACTAATTTTGCAGACCCTATCCCTCCGTAGTCTTTCAAGTAGGAGGAGAAATGCCAGCGTTCTCCTCCGGTTTACAGGCACTGTGTAAATTATATATATAGAAAAATGATGATGATGAATGCATTTTTTTTACCACTAAAATACAGCAACACATCTTTGATTTATGTCGTTTATAACTGGAATATTACAGTTATTATTAACTTTGTCTGTACAAAGTAGCCTGTCCAGGAAATATGCCCAAATCAACAAAAACTGCGAGCCGGCAGGCAAGACGCTCCGCTTCTGAAATGCTTCTGAAACGCGCCTGGTAGGGTATGACGCCGGAGGAGGCCGGACCAAAACCGCGGCGCAGCCGTAACGCGGCGCAGACGGACCCGGTGGAATCTAGGGGTTAGGCTCTAACTGTGGTCAAACCAGTACTTTGGAAAGAATAAATGAAAGTTGTCAAAAAACATTAGAGCTATAGATCTCTATGTGTTAGTCAGTCTGAGTGAATTTTTTCACTTTAAAAAAGGGAGCCATTGATGATGTAGGAATATTGATCAGTGCAGCGTTTAGTGTACAGTGTAGTGATCACTAATTAACGGGGTTACATAATTCAATCCAGGAACTACAGGTTGGGGGTATTGTTTCCGCCCGGACATATATGTTGACGGTACCTCCGGGGTACCTACTGTGTGTGTTCCCCTTTCACTTTCTCTTCTCTCCTGTGGCTGCGACCCGACAGCATGTCAGTTTCAGCTCCCCAATAAAGTGAGATTTGCACCTCTGATGCACCGCCTCCGCCTCCCTTCTCTCGGCACTACATTGGTGACCCTGACATAAGTCTCGCGAAGGATCCGAGACTGAATCGAACACGGCAAAAAGCGCAGCTTTTCTCGAAATGCCGGGGATTTTTGGAGACCTCCGTTGCTGCCACGTGCGCACGGACTGAGGCTCGGTGCGCCCCACGGAATGGCTGGGAACGTCGCTCACCATTCCCGCTTCGTCTCGGCACTGGAGGGCAGCAAGCCTTCCTGCTACGAGGGGACGATGCACGACCTGCTGGGTATGGAGGGACCCGACTTCTGCCTCGTGGAGCTGGTTCTTCGGGACATGCTGCATGTCCGGGCTGCGCTAGCTAACTCGGCTAGTGTTGAGCCCCGCGCTTTGGCCGAAGATGCTGGCCGGTTCCTCCTGGCCGCCCCGCGATTTACCCCCGAGGTGCTTGCCACTGCACGCTGCAGCACCTTCCCTGGTGGGGGCACGCCGCCTAGCAGAGGCTCCGGGGCCGACGACGACAGCGACTACCGGCCGTCGAGGGCGGCTAGCGACGACTGCTAGCAACGGCTGACGATGACTAGCAGCTACCAGCGGCTATCGACATCCGACTGTTTTTTTTTGTTTTTGTTTTTTTTGTGGTGCCTGAGAGGAGGTTCGATCAAGTCTGGTCGGCCTCGCGTGGATCCTCTCGCTATTTCGCCCACCTGTTTTTGATCGTGGACGGGACGACCCTTTTTGAGCTTTTTCTGGTGCCTGAGAGGAGGTTTGATCATGTCTGGTCGGCCTCGTGTGGACCCTCTCGCTGTTTCACCACCTCGACGGCGGCTTCGGACGTCACACACGCCTGCTTCGGCCCGTGGGTGACGCGCTTCTGGACCCCGTCTCGCCTCTTCCCTCGCCTCGGCGGTTTCGAACGTCACCCGTGCCTTCATCGGCCCGCGGGTGGCGCGCTTCGGGACCCTGCCTGGCCTCTCCTCTAACCGCGGCTCACGGTTTGCCTCGACGGCGCCCCGTCTGGCCTCTCCCCTGTCCACGTCTCCCTCCTCCCGGGGACACGGCTCCTTCCTCCCGAGGACTTCGTGCCCGCCGCCGCTGTGCCTTCGCCTGCGGCCGGGCAGCGCTCCTCCCTGCTGGGGACCACCGGGTTTTTCACGCCCGTCCCCACGTCGCAACACAGCGACCCTGCTTTCTGCGGCCCCCTGACGACGGCCCGTTCTGGCCCGCCCCCCACCCCCCGGTGGGGATGCCCTTGCCCTCGTTGGGGCCCCTACCCTCGCCTGCGGCCCCGTTACATGGCCCCGCCCTCCTCGGCCCCTGTGGTGCTTCCTCCCGGACGCGAGGATTGTGTCCATGGTTGAATTCTGGGGGGGCTTGTGTAGTGATCACTAATTAACGGGGTTACATAATTCAATCCAGGAACTACAGGTTGGGGGTATTGTTTCCGCCCGGACATATATGTTGACGGTACCTCCGGGGTACCTACTGTGTGTGTTCCCCTTTCACTTTCTCTTCTCTCCTGTGGCTGCGACCCGACAGCATGTCAGTTTCAGCTCCCCAATAAAGTGAGATTTGCACCTCTGATGCACCGCCTCCGCCTCCCTTCTCTCGGCACTACAACAGTACATATATGCTATAATCCACATGTTTTTTAACAAACATGTCAAAAAGGCTGTGAAAGGGGTTTCTGGTAGAGATGAATCTGAAGAGAGTGAACATGATTTGAAACTGCATTTAAGTCACACTTTAACTCTTTTGTTTCCTTTATTTTTCACAGTTCAAAGGCAGCCTATTAAAAGCAAACAATGAGAGCAAACAGAGAGGAAGAGAAAATAGAAATCCCCTCAGTCTTGGTGCTCTCTGTGTAACGCCTCAAGTATTTCTCTCTATCTTGAATGAGTTACTATTAAAAGTGTTATAGACTACTCACCCTCAGAGTGATGATTAGTCCTCTTTTTGTGGAGTG